CAAGGTAGAATTGGTACTCCTGAGTATCATTTTCATAAATAATAAATATCTATTTATTTAATGAAGCTCTCGCATGATCTATTAACACATGCATATACAAGGCATTTCTACTTGCAAGTCTGTTTTGAACTAGTGCAGTTTAGACGCGTTGACGCAAACGCAAACTCTAAATTCGTCCGGTGTGAACCAAGAGTACATAACGATCTTAAATGAGGCGCTGTTTTGTGCTTCATGTGATAAGTAACCCACATTTGTAGGCCTACTTCTGTGTCATGCTTCCACAAATTGCCAATTTGCTAACATTATGCCAATGGGTTTATCGATAATTCCATTTTATACAACTTTTTTCATTAATAATTTTATTGGCCTATTTTTTGTAAACACAATTCGGTATGTACGAAGACTCATTTAGTATATTCAGATTTATTTCATATTTCGTATATTATATGTGTTCCTATGTAATAAAAACATTGAATTTACTAATTTAATATGTTAACGATACAGTGCCTCAGGATATGTGTGTATCTTGATAGATGGCGCTATACAAGTTTAAAATATAATTAAAGGAGATTTTTTACCTTTCACTGAGAGTATCACCAAATGTGGTAAATCTTAACTAATGAAAAATTACTTTATTTCAAGTGAATATATTAACTTTAATTCAAAACAGTTTATATTACAAGAGCCATTTTTAATGATAATAATGATAATAAAATCTTTCTTTTACAATGGAAGCTCGTTCACCAAAGTAGTGTACTTCCATGAGGCCGTATGTATATTTTACATATCATGAAAACTTAACTATAAAATGTACAACTAAACAAGAACTACTTAATACAAAATACAAAACTAAAAGGAAAATAGAAAAGTTTAACCAAAAAACCAAAGATACTACCAAATAGGCTGTACTTAAAAAATATGTTGAAATTATATTTAAAAAAATTTTAAGTGTGGTACTATTTTCTGTGTTCTCATCAATATTGATTGTTCCACAAGTCAGTAGATCTAGCTTATCAGACAGTCAATCAAAGTAATAAAAATATTAGCTAACTTTTAATATACAGTGACAACCGAGCAACTACTTTCATAACTTCAAAGTGAAATTGCATGTTCAGTATCAATTAGAGATAACTTCTGCTTGGATTGCAATATTGCGTCCAATTTGGCTAGTCATGTTATCAACAGCAGTACTAGCAATTTGCCTAACGAGGAATGCTTTTAAGCAGGTTAATTAAGTATGCATAGAGACAGTTTTAGACAGATATTCTGTGACTAATGCTTCTCTCCCTTCACTTTTATCTTCCAAGAATTTGAAATTTGTTGGAATGATTATGTTTGTGTCTTCAAAAGTTGTCTAATGTAAGACAGTTCTTACATTTCTTTAATCTCTGTTTTTTACTCTATCACACATTAAAAAAATTACAGTGTAAATTGAGAATTGGTTTTTGATGAAAGTTTTATTAAGATAATTGGAATCAATTTAGACTATTAATATAGGTTTCATCCCAGTAATGTATTTTGAGGTTGTGGCTCTGCCTGATTATCCTATGAGAATTCTATTCTGCCAGTGACATAGGACTCGTAAAATAATGAAAAAGCTTTCAAATGCTACTGGCATTTCGATTTGCCATAAAGCATCCATTGTCTAGAGGACAATTGCCATGTACAGTATTTAGCACAAAGTTTAAAGTTTATAAAAAGTGTTTTATTAGCAATGACTGCCGTCAGTCCATGCGAGGAGGGTGGGGGAGGGGGTTGGGACTACAATATGACGGGGTAACAACATGATCTTGCTAATCACAATTCCACTTCAATTTTTGTTTTCTTGTTTTGGTAAGATTTTGGAAGGCTGTGTAATGGGGGTGATCCCCCTCATGTACTGTATCTTACAAGATTTATATGGATAATTGTAAATCAATTGATCATTAAAAACCCATGAAGTACAGTATGTTCCAATGAATTTCTCCAGCTTCAGTAAATGGTTTTGTAATTATCATCTGTTTCCTATGTAATTGCACTGGTGATAAATGAAGCCTTGTGTTAAAGGTGCTGAATAGATGAATTCATGCAAGGGGGAAAAATTACGAGTTGGCAAAATTACAAGTTGGCATAAGGGGAATTTCTAGAAGAGAGTGAATTTACAAGTTGTAGTGAAGTCTGTTTTAGACCTTAATTGAAATTTCTTGATTTTCATTTATTATGTTTTGTTGTTTTTCAATGCTTTCCATTTCATCTGTACTTCTTGTATTTATACAATATTTAAAGAATAGTACACTCATTTTAAACTTCAAAACAGCCTTGTTAAAAACACCTGCATAGGTGTTCAATCTTTCCATTTCAAAATGAAGATATTGTTATTATATAAACTAATTCCAGTTGCCGAAAGACAACAAATACCTCTGTAATCATTTATATATTCTCAATGATTTACTTCGTATTGATTGATTGATTCATGTAATCATTTATTCATTTACTCATTTATTAATTTGTTCATTCATTTGTTCATTCATATATTCATACATCCTTTGCTCATTCATCCATTTGTTCATTCATTCTTTAGTTCACTCATTCAGTTGTATTATAATTCATTTATTCATTTAGTTGTTTTTTAATTCATTCATTCAGTTGTTGATTCATGTGTTCACTCATTCATTTGTTCATCAATCAATTTTGTTTTGTGAAACATTTAGCCATTAACAATATGATAAAAGGGACAATCTTGTAAATGTACAAGCAACAAATTATACATATGACATTTGCTGAGGATTTATATTGATATTTTTAAAATACTGTCTTGGATTACCTACAGTCAGTACTGTGCTAATATTCTTTTTTATACTCCAAAAGTCAATGGTTTTTGTGATTCAGATGTATGCATAACTCCATGAGGGACTAGAAATGTAATTACCATGCTTTATAAATGTGTTTTTTCCTACAGAATTGCAAAACCTTGTGAATAAAATATGAATTATAGATGTTTTAGCTTTGTTGTTCGAAGGGAAACGTTCAGGTTTTATTGACATGTTTATGGTTCGCATTCCATTTTATACTTTTATAATGTGATTTTGAAGATGAAAAGGAATATAAAGCATTCACATAGTGATTGAAATGGAATATTATAAAGTAATGTACACATAGTATTATCTTTGATTTGTTATATTAAAAAATAATTCTTTATTTCATTTTAAATATAGTTTTAATATGTTGCATTTATTTTGACCTAGTAATAACTAAGTAAATGCAATTTTTTTAAGGATTTCAGTAGTTAAATTTGTTATGAAATGGATAATTTTCCATGATATTTTGTTTTTGAAGAAGGTATGGAAATCAAGGTTTTAGCTGTAGAAAACTAATGTTGGGTGATAGCTGTGAAATTAGTTGTAGACTGGGTGGAAAACTTAACAGCCGGGTGGCCTCGCCCACCATAACTATATCCCTGGGACACAGATTAATGATGTAGTTTGACTTCAAATGATATTGTTTTTGTGTTTACTTGTTGATTTTAATTACCTTTTTATAGTTTAGAGAACCAGTTAGTATAGTTCTATGAAATAAAACAAACATCTTGTGAAAATCAATAAAAGCATTACATCTATCAAGTTTAACATTGATTTTTATTGTTGTGTTATTAATAACATATACAATTAATTCTTTTTTTTCAAATTATAATTAATAGCATGCATGTGTGTAAAAAATTAATAATAATGGAATTAAATAAAATATATTAAAATTTACCAAGTAAACAGTTACATATGTTTTTGGCCATAAATAATAATGTAATTAATTATTAGTATAAACATAAAAAAAACATTAAACATCTATCAAGTTTAACATTGTTGTTTTTCATCATTGTTTATTAATAACATATACAATTATTTTTTTTTCCAAATATATATTGCATGCATGTCTTAAATTTAAAAACGTTAAAAGTTTAATAATAATGGAATTATATAAAATATACATAAACATGTAGCAAGTATATACGTACATAGTGTGTTTTTGGCCATAAATAATAATGTAGTTAGTTATTAATATAAACATAAATAAATGGAAGGCTATGTTAAAGTTTATATATTAATAATTAATTGTATATACTTACGCAAGTGTATATTTGGCCATCATTATTAATGTAGTTAATTATAAATTTACAATTATAAATTTATGAATTCTAAGTTTAGATAGTTTATTTATACATTTATAATCAAATTATATAAGATTATTTAAATGAATATATTTTTATGTTGCCATAAATATATTAAAATATCAAAGGTTAATTTTTACTGGAAAGAAGCATATCTATGTGCAAGAGGTTTTTTTTATATCTACATATAGTATTTTTACCTCAATTCACTTAGATTCAAGATTCAAAATAACTTTATTGCAAAATTAAGGAAAATTTAATGTAATAAGAATAAAAATGTAAAAATATTAAAATACTCCAGTTAAATTAGTCAAAATAAGAAAACAGGACACATTACAACATCAAAAATACAAAAGAAGTTAAAAATAACTTTAACCTTTTTGTTACATAATGCTGATTTTTATTTTTTTTTTTTCATTTTCGTTTTGTTTGGTTAAATCAATCAATCAATTAAGAATCCCTAATTATTTCAATATGAATAAATCATGTTTATTGTAATTCTGTTGGTAGTTTTACAGGCACTATATGCATACATATGGGATCCATGATAGTACAGTATCAACAAATCAATCAGTCAATTATTCAGTATGAATTTTTACCTTCGAATGTTGTATACATTATTGTGCTCCTAAATGTATTTTTTTTATATTGTTTTTCTGACTTGCAATGCTTGTTATGAATATGAATGTCCTATTACAATGGACAATAAAGTTTAATTGAATTGAATTGAATTAAATTGAATCAATTAATATGTATCAATTAATAGGAATCGATTATCAATCAAGCACTCAAATTAATTGTACAATGCAATTGCATTTATTGTGAAAAAGTGATATTAATGATTTTTTTTTCCCTTCAGGATTATTAGTACGATTTTGACAGACTTAAACACCTCACAAAGCTCAACCCTTGATGTTAAGGCCTTAAGAGCATTCCGTGTCGTCAGGCCGTTACGGCTGGTCTCAGGTGTTCCGAGTAAGTACTCGTATATCATTTTTTTTATAAGATCAATTTGCCAGCTGTTTAACCAGTAGATTATTGCTGTTGTAATAAATTTTTGTTTTTCTTTATGAACCTAATTCTGAAAACTTGCTTCACATTATAAAATGAATTTGAAATTTTTAGTTCGACATTGAACAAGGGTATACAACCTATAAATAGCCCAAATATCACCTAACCGCATGGATGGGCAACCAAAAATACCACACCATTATCAGTGCACCATCTTGATTTTGTAACACTAACAATCTGATTGGGATTTTGAGGTAGTTGAAGCTTACTAATATACGTTTTTAGATTTTGTTTCATTCTCCTCAGTTGCATTGCACAATAAATTGCACAACTTAGTGCTACCATTATAAAAATACATTGTCATTAAAGAAATAAATAGTGATTTGGTAAAAAATCTTTATTTTGCCATTTAGGTGACAGACTTCTCGCGAACTGATTTGATATGGCGAGCACCAACTTGTTGATTATCACTGCCATGCCTTACTAATCCAGCATGGATTCATTGACATTTATTATTCTAACATTAAAATGCCATTTCAAGCCCACGCCTTACACATTGGTTAATGTGATGATGTGTGTTTTCAAGATCTGGAAATGGCAAAAGGTCTTAGTGTTACCGTATGCAAATTTAGAAATAAATAATAATAGCTTTCTTCTCGCAAGTTGTAATGTTTTTATTCTTTTTCTGTTTCTACTGTAGTAATAGTAATTCTTACAAAGACAACATAAATAATATGAGATATGATGATGTACAAGCTTTGACAATTGGCAGGTCAGCTTTCTCTGATAGATTCGGTCTCTCAACCTTAATGTTGGAGGTTCAAACCTTCACTCTGATGTTCACTTGTGCCCTTGGGCAAAGCACTTAATTTTTTTTTTTTTAAAAACTGAAATCACCCCAAACAAAGTTCGAAAGCCAATTCTAGGTAAGGGGGTTACCTTAATTACTATTTATATGCCACAAAATGCTTGCACCTGGTGCTGAAACATATCCTGAGCCATTTCACAGCCTGTCAACAATGCAAGTTGGGTATCTAAGCATGGTTGCCCAAGATTGGACAGTGTGTGGTTTGAACACCAGACCACAAGTTCAACAATCTGAATGGAAACCGCTAAGCCAAACTGCCTTCCCCGACATTTGTCTCCCTCCACCTAGGAGCAATAAGTGCGTACCTGGTAGGATGATGTGACATTAAATGTGTTAGACAAGACAAAGAATACTTCTCCGAAATTAGAAGAGGTTCCACTTTTTGATAGCTAATTATAGATCCAAATACCAGCAGTAACAATAACAACATCACTGGAAACTTGTATCACTTGCCAAAAGACATGGTATGAATCTATGTTATTATTATATCTTTAATCAAATTTTGACCACTTTAAGATTCAAAATCGGAACATTTTTTGAAAACACATCTTACTGTTCTCCCATATACTTCCACCATCTTAATGTTAAGAAACAATCTAATATGGCCGCTTGTACGTTCTCTTCATTTGCATACGTTTACATTTAATAAATTCACACAGTAAGCTTAAGTATGGTTTCCTGTTTGAATTCACACAAAAACCATGTAAATCATTGATTATTCATTTTCATTGTCTACATTTCCATTTTGTGTAATTGTCTGGGTTCTTGGCAAACAGTACTTGGCATAATGCACAGTAGTATACTTTTCTAATCTCAACATTATTTTTTCAAAATATATTAATAATAATAGTAATAATACTAAATAAATATATTTTTTTTATATATAAATATAACTGTATAGGACTGCTTTCATGCATATATTTTGTTTATTTGTTACTGAATTGAATTCAATTTAATTTGCCTGAGTTGACACTATTGTACAATCATTTAAATTATGGCATATGTCAAACCAAGAAGTTTTCGTGAAAAAAAGAAATTAAACCAGATTACTTTCACCTTAAAATTAATGAGGAAAGTATATTTTTTATTAGTCTAATGAGTGTGACTATATAATTCATAATAAGAATGTAGATCAGGCCTGGGTATAGTCCCACCTCAGGTATAATCCCACTCCCGACTTTAAGTCTAATTCCGCGTACAAGTATTTCCTCACAATGTAGAGACTCACGATCACAGGCTCTTGCTGCTAAAAATAAGTATTACATCATGCATTACAAGTGGACAGTCTTTTAGTTGCAATGGGTGATTGGATTTGATAGCCTGGACCTACGATATCAAAAAAAAGCAAGTCACTGATGAGAACATCTTTCGTAGTTATAGGCCCAGCATGTTTCCACAATTTAAATTTGTTTAAAACCTGTTGCTGCCGTGCAGAGTAATTATAGGCCTACAGTAATTGGGTACTGCAGCTAAGTTGAGGGCGCTAGTAGTAATATTTATATTAATAATGTATTATACTAGTTGCAGTAAATAGCTTATGCTGGAATATGCATTTTAATTTTCTAAATCGTAATAATTCTGAAGAATAGAATGGTTGTAACTTTTCATCTACATTTGGATTAGTAATAAGAAAACAAAGTGTTAGGTAAGCGGAAATTTTTTTAAATAGTATAGTTTATAAGCAATTATATTAAATACAATAATATAAAATATAGTAATATAATTAGGAAAATAACTTGATTGGGTTACACTTGTTTTGACATTCATACTAATATTCAATACCGCTTTCCTCAGTCAAAAAAATAAAAGTAATGCATTAACATTGTAGCTACAGTAGTATCTATTATCAAATATTGCCAAATAAGGTACTAACATGCATTTTGATGTTTGATACAGCATTTGTCAACATGCTTTCATGACCCACTATTTTACACATCTGATTAATACAGATATCAGGAGACAGGAATAATAATAAGCCTTCTTTCACACCTTAGGACGTTAACTGTCATAAGTTTAATTCTCCTAGGATATAAAACAAGCACAGTGTGGTCTGTGCCACACTATCGCGGATAAATCAACGCGTTCTAAATTGTCTTAGCACATTCTGAAACGCCAAAAGTGCATATGAACAGATTATGTATTGAATTTGTGAATTCTTTTATAGTCTTATCTGCATATCATTAAAATCTATGTGCCAGAAGAGAATTACTGATACTACTGCAGTTACAGAGTGTTGCTGTCATTATTGTTTTGTTCCTGTTGATGATAGAATTTAGGCCAAGTCAAAAAAAAAAACATGTTTCACGTCCGGCTTTTTTTTTAAATTGAGGATTTAAAAAAAATTTTATTTTTTATTTTTTATTTTTCAAAATGGCCGCCATTCTACAGACTTGTTGACATTTCCCGTCTAGTTTTGTTCAACATATAAAAAGACATCACACAAGATTAGAAGCTGTATA